AAAACACGAAAGCATTGAAACTGATCATGATATCTTGCTTTAGGTTTGATTAATTTATGAAGGGAAAATCGCAAGTAAACATGTCGAACTGCGTTGCAAGATATTTTTTCGTAGGATATTGACGAGGACATTAGCAATTAACGATAGTGTGAATCCAGAAGTGCTTCTAGTCTGAGAAATAAATCTCCGATCACAGCATTCAAAAAAAAACTTATAAATGAACTAACAAACCCAAGCGCAAATGCGAATAGCCACGGAAATTTCAATATGAAATGTGATGAGATGGCGATTACTGTTGCTTCGACACTACACGGTATGAACGACAACCGAAGGCATGCACCCTAAAAGCATGCATCATTTCGTGTCACATTTCATGAATATTTAGAGTATTCAACGATAGGTATATTAACGAGTATTAACGATTAGCTACAAATTTCAGTTGTGCCATTAAAAATTTAGAGATGCTCATTTGTATTTGCAAAACATCGAAAAATATGACGTGAAAGTGTTGAACTGAAAAGATGGTAATGCCGACCAAGCAGTTGTACGAAAGAGGTCACATATTTCGTTACCTTAAGTCGATTCAGGGCATCTGAATCTAATCCGAGACCACCACGTAAAAGTATCACCACAAAAGCAGTTTTTCTTAACACCATTGCCCATTCCTTTAGCAGAAACAATTGCACAACTCCTGTATTCCGAAGAATAACACCAGTGACCAACATCCCTGGAAACGTCCGTCAATCAACTATCGATAATTCACCTACTTCCATATTTAATCAAATCACTCCTAAACTATCTATTAGGCGAGCGAATCCACCAAAATTATATTCATGAGAATGCAAAAACTTCCATGGAAGTGAATTCAATAAACAACTGAGAATTCAAAGCGAATTTATTGAATATATGTAGTGTTATGAATGTTCGTTTGCTGGTTACTCTCATGTTGCTGAGATACAGAAGATTAGCTCGTTGAAGCAATGGTGCCTCTGCTTTACTGCGGTGAAACTCGACATGCTCAAGTTTCTAGTGGCGAATAAGCATGAATAATCCGGTGAGAAGCGTGCAACGATATTAAGCGGATATCGCGAGTGATAT